TCTGGCCCGGACTGATAGCCACAATTTTTCACAAAATTCGATCGACCGATAAAATAACTCTTTCAATGAAGCAATGAAATGATGTTTTGGAATTGAATAATACATATATATATATATATATATACTCGTCATTAACGCGATACTTTTTCTCGTATTATTGCTTATAATTTCCGCAATCTCAATTCTGATATCGCATGGATCACCGAAGTTGATCAAAATAAAGATGAGTAAAGTGGTTTCCGGGACGATGCCGTCATCATACGATTTTCAACTCATTCACATCGGGCAAGACTGGGTCGTAAAATGCTCAATGTATAACGAATAATAAAAAAATCTTTAATGATTGACATCATAAATCTTGGATGCTTCCATGAATAAGTTCAAAAATCCTAAGGAAAGCAAATAAAGTGGATGATGGCGTTAAAACGCGCATCGTTTCGAGAAATTCCAAAGCAGAACCCATAACAGCGAATATTCTCCCGAATTCCCTCCGTAAATCATGGCCCATCTTCGGCAGTTCTCCGCATAAACTGGTCGCTAGAATGCTTCACACACACAAGCAGCAGCTGCGCATTGATCTGTTCTTCGACATATCGTGAAGATTATAAGCACATCAGCTGAACAAGTATATATAATAGACACGGTATAAGAAGAAAAAACATGGTGTTCATCGTCATATATGGGACATTACAGTAATTCTGCTGTTCAAAGAGGCAGTATATAATGGAAGGAGTTCGTCTGCACTCCGCAGGCATTAGAACGAACGGCTGTGGAATAACGACCATACGATACCCAAGAGTCGCATTACGCGCACGATCAGTCTACTTTCAAGTACCACAAGGGCTTCATACCCGGCGTCGTCGTGGGGGTTTTTGTTCCTTTTGCTCAACCCGACGAATATTGAGCCATAAATCTTTTTTTTTCTCCTTTTCAAAAACAGGTCATGCAGCGATGGCAATCGTATTAGCAGAATCAATGCTCGCGTGGTGGATCACGAAGGTCAACCATTGCTCTGATACACACACGCCTTCGGAGGTCCTGTAATATGCTTGATGAGTGAAGTCCTAACATCCATAGTTGCAATACTGAAAGAAATTCGTAATACAGCAGTACTTTCGCATTTCCGCAAATTTAAAATTATCGGCATGGCTGAGGGTTCAAGTCTACGTCTGGATATCATATATTGTTACGAATTCAGTAAAGTGGAATCTTATTACAACGAATTTCGTTTTAAAGAATAATCGCTGCTGACAACAAAGTCATTTTTGGGTAACAGCCCAATATAGCCACTGAGTGGCTTTATATAAATTTTTGTTAGAACGCGTTTATTTTACCGGTCACAATAAATGGCTTTCTTGTAACGAGTTTTCAGTGTAATTTTAATTTAATTGGAGGCAAAATCAGATATGACAAAGTCGAACGGTTTTTTCAGGATTTCATTTGCTCGATAGCTCAGTTATTTTAAAATTGAAAGAGTAACATTTAGGCGAATTGATCGTAGTCCGGCTGAAAATTCAGCAAAATAATGAAGCGTCAAAAAACATTTTCGAGGATTTCCTGAATTTACTTTCACTATGACGTTTTATTCAACATCTGCGACAGACTGCAAACACTGACTTTTCTTCTGCACGGTAGTTTTTCGAGTATCCAGAAGTGAGCGAAGTATTGCAAAATTTGGTTTGCGATGAGAAAAAACTCAGTACAGTAGTACTGTACTAGAATTAATTAAGATTATAGTCGAACGAACGATACACAAGACGACAGATGGAAACAGAAGTGAAAGAGAATAATGAAACACATTTTGTTTTTTACGAACATTTCCTTCTTTCTCTCCTCTCCAGGAATAGCCTTCATTTATGGAGTCACCAACACATCGGTTTCGCACGGTGTTATCAACGAAAAAAAAAAGAACAAACGCAATCATATTCCTCTTTCTTCGCATTTCCCACCTTATTCATCGGAAGTCGCAGAAAATGCTCCTCTGGCGCGTGTCACCTGAATCCAAATGGATTAGAACGAACGGCTGTGGAATAACGACCATACGATACCCAAGAGTCGCATTACGCGCACGATCAGTCTACTTTCAAGTACCACAAGGGCTTCATACCCGGCGTCGTCGTGGGGGTTTTTGTTCCTTTCGCTCAACCCGACGAATATTGAGCCATAAATCTTTTTTTTTTTTCCTTTTCAAAAACAGGTCATGCAGCGATGGCAATCGTATTAGCAGAATCAATGCTCGCGTGGTGGATCACAAAGGTCAACCATTGCTCTGATACACACACGCCTTCGGAGGTCCTGTAATATGCTTGATGAGTGAAGTCCTAAAATCCATAGTTGCAATACTGAAAGAAATTCGGAATGCAGTATACTTTCGTATTTCCGCAAATTTAAATTATCAGCATGGCTGAGGGTTCAAGTCTACGTCTGGATATCATATATTGTTACGAATTCAGTAAAGTGGAATCTTACTACAACGAATTTCGTTTTAAAGAATAATCGCTGCTGACAACAAAGTCATTTTTTGGGTAACAGCCCAATATAGCCACTAAGTTAAATGAGTGGCTTTATATACATTTTTGTTAGAACGCATTTATTTTACCGGTCACAATAAATGGCTTTCTTGTAACGAGATTTCAGTGTAATTTGAATTTAATTGGAGGCAAAATCAGGCATGACAAAGTCGAACGGTTTTTTCGGGATTTCACTTGCTCGATAGCTCAGTTATTTTAAAATTGAAAGAGTAACATTTAGGCGAATTGATCGTAGTCCGGCTGGAAATTCAGCAAAATAATGAAGCGACAAAAAACATTTTCGAGGTAATCCATCAGATTTCTTGAATTTACTTTCACCATGACGTTTTATTCAACATCTGCGACAGACTGCAAACACTGGCTTTTCTTCTGCACGGTAGTTTTTCGAGTATCCAGAAGTGAGCGAAGTATTGCAAAATTTGGTTTGCGATGAGAAAAAACTCAGTACAGTAGTACTAGAATTAATTAAGATTATAGTCGAACGAACGATACACAAGACGACAGATGGAAACAGAAGTGAAAGAGAGAATAATGAAACACATTTTGTTTTTTACGAACATTTCCTTCTTTCTCTCCTCTCCAGGAATAGCCTTCATTTATGGAGTCACCAACACATCGGTTTCGCACGGTGTTATCAACGAAAAAAAGAACAAACGCAATCATATTCCTCTTTCTTCGCATTTTCCACCTTATTCGGAAGTCGCAGAAAATGCTCCTCTGACGCGTGTCACCTGAATCCAAATGAACTACAATATGAAACTCAGTCGCAATTAACAAGATCCAAATTCAAATCGTCCTCAATCAGATGGGCGTTCAAATCATCAATAAAAAAAAATCGCGCACTTCTCTCGCTGAACATCCGCCGCACAGCAATTCATAAGATCACAATCAAAGCAAAACGGAAAAAAAAGCCAGAAAAACAGATGACGGCAGAAAAAAAAGAAGAAAAGGAACAATAGCCAAGTTGAAAATAAAAGAAAAAAATCACATGAGAACGCTCGTTTCTTCGAAATGAATGAAATATATGCAGTACTGTGCTTCGCAGTATTCTCTCTTCGCGCGCGAAAAAAAAGAAAAGAAAAGAAGAAAATTCGAGCAAGTCCTAACCAATTCATCAGGCGACCGATTCAGCAAAAGTTGGCACAGTCTCACTGCCAAAACCGTCACTCCATGTCTTCATCTTCATCGATCATCTCTCGGGACGACTAACAAAATCAAACTCTTGCAACAAAAAAAAACCACATTTTGGAACTCCATTTTCCCCCTACCGCGGCTCATTCTGTCCAGTTTCCACATACAACGTAACGCTGAAGCGAGAAAAAAAACGAGAACCAGCACACAGTATATATGGAAGTACAAAACAAAACGAACAAAGAAACATCGTAATAAAGGTTCTTTTCTCGTGGAATCTCTCATTTTGGGAACATGAACGAGCTTCACGCTTCATTAACTGAGACTCCACCGAAGTGAATGGAAACCGGTCGGAAAAAAGCTGCTGGGGCATCACTTGAAAAATGTCCAAGAAGTTCAACGCTCTTCAGACAAAAGTCATGGGACAGCAAAAACATTTTCTTCCGTTCCATATTATTAGATCAAAATCGTGAAACACCGCTTTATTAATTTGAATCATCTCACGCCTTTTCTTCCACAAGTTTTGTTTTTTACTCGACAAAAATCGCCGAGCTTTTTCAAGCTTCCCTTGCAAGCTGCAGAGCACCAATATCTTGGTATGAAGTTGAGCAGCAACAACTTGAGACAAATCATCGACATTTTCTTCTCGGGGCATTCAGAAAACTCAGACCATCTCTAGGAAACAAAAAAATCCACGTGTCCACTGACATCATTTTTTTCATGACAAAATTAGTGTCTCTTCGATACATGCAGCTTAATCATGTCCTCCCTCATCTTGTAACGAAAAATGCTCAAATTCAGAACAGAGAACAAAAAAGGCATTTTTCATGACTGAATTTGTCTCTATTAGATAAATGCTGCTAATTCATATCCTCTGTTATCTTGAAAGAAAAAAAATACTCGAATTCAGAAGACAGGACTGAAACGAATTTATAATATTTTTTAAAGTAGTCTCTCCTATAGATAAATGCAAATAATTCACATCCTCCGTCGTCTTGAAAAAAAACAGGCTTAAATTTAGGATACAGGGCAAAGAAGTACACCACGAATCACAAAAATTATGCGAAATTCAGAAAAGAGTCGGTGAAATGCTGAATGAACTGCTCGACGCTCGCGCGATTTTCATTCGAAAAAGAAATCGCGAGGAAAAATCGTTTCGGAACCGTTTTTCTCAGCGCTACAGACATTTTAGCTGAAAGTTCTGAATGCCCCATAATCAAAACTCTTCCGTTTACTGGCCACATAAAAAAAAAAAAACAACAAAACAAAAACACAAAAAAAACCCTACGGTATTGCTTCCGAGTCCACGCGACATTCGTCGGGTTCCCGCTCTCGTATTCAAACGGCCATCCGGTAAGTCATGAATCTCTTCAAGGACTTTTCAATGTTGAGCCGGTGTCCGACTCTTTTGACACCCAGTGCCAGCAGAGTGTCGTTGTTGAGGTTCATGAGCTTGGGCCCGTCCACGTTGCATTCGACGAAGGTGCGCTTGTATTCGGGCATGAACAAGGACTCGAGCCAGTCAGCAGTGTCAGCCACGGTCCACTCGTGCAGGGGTTTCGCTTTGAAGCCGGACTTGGCGTAGGACGGGTGACTGGCGTGCATGCTTCCAGGCGGGTACAAGTGCTGCTGCTGTTGGAGCTGCTGCTGCTGTTGCTGCTGCTGGTGGTGGAAGAGCTGGGACTGCTGCTGGTGGCCACTTGCCGACATGTGGTAGGCTGTTCGGGGATCCTGCAAGGGAGATTTTCGTGGATGAAAATCAATAAAAATCTATCGAGAATTGAACCTTCGCCAGAGCTAGGGGAGAACACAGGAGAAATTTTGATGCATGAATGGTCTGCATGATAATTTAGACCAGTGTTCCCCAACCCGTGGTCCGCAGACGGGTGCCGGTTTGCAGAAGTTTTTTGCCAGTCTGAGGGAAATTTTTAGCAGAATACAGCGAGACCCCCACATGCGGACACCACGACATGGGGACAATTCAACATAGGGACATTCATTTTTCAATAAAAAATCATAAAGAAGGCCCAACATAGGGACACTGACTCAACATGAGGACATTGCATGATGACATTGCCAATCAATTTTAGGAAAATTGACTTTTATTAGGCTTAATTGCAAGAAACAGATATTTCCAGCCCTAAGATCTATGTAGAACAAAATTCTTTGGTACTTTTCCCATCACTTCCCCATCCATTCAGCTAATCAAAAAAATTACCTGTTGCATAGAGGGACTTCATTATCTTTTTGTGACTTGGGTGTTATTTTTACAGATGCCAACATTTCAATGAACTGTACAGTGGTATACTATTCAATGCTCCAAATGTTCTTATCGAGTTAAAAAAAATATTCACTGAATCAAATTCAAGTGGCAAATAGAAAAAATTTTCATGGAATTCTGAAGAATATTTCTTCCACAAGCCTTAATCAGATATTAAGGAAAAAATGAACCCCGAATGTCATGCACTGCGTACATCAGATCTTGGCATGCCAGCCAGCATGCTGTACCATGTTAACCATTATCCTTCTGGTAATACAGTATCTAGAAATAACTGCCCTGTAAAAGTCATGATCACATATTCAAGAGGATATTTGACTTTACCTTTTATTTCTTCAACTGAACAAGTACCATATACGTACACGTATAAGCCAGAAAATAATTCGACATTCCAGTCCATAAACATTTCAATTGATTTTTCGTTCAATAAGCTTCGAGAATATGACATTTACGCAAATACAGTATTACAGAATTCAATCTTTTTGCTTCAATTTCATTTGAATGGATGCGTCATTTGAAGAACAGACGCACTGTACTCTAAAAGTCTAAATCATCGTTTAACAAGCTTTGAGAAGGAATCAGTCAAGGAAATATTCAAGAATGCCCTTTTCTTCGCACACATCAATTCAGGTCTTTCATGCGTATATTTATTGAGTCACAATCTGCAGTTTGAATTGAACATGGGAGAATGTTTCGGCCACGCATTTTTCCTGGGAATTGGTCAATAGCTACTGTAAATTTACTGCAGGTGGAAATCACCATTTCAGATTTACGATACTGTATACGGTGACAGAAAAGAAAGGTGGGGAAAAATTCCGAGAAAACGAACCTGCGACAAAATCTGCGGATGCCGACTGGCAGCGCCATCGTCGTAATACCCGCGATGCTGGTGGTGCCCAAGCATGACGTCTTTCGACGTCAACTCCTTGTGCTTGGCCCCACTCGCACCACTTCCGGCTCCACCGCCGCCGCCGTTCCCGTAGCCCACCCGAATGGTCGTCCGGTGAGTGATGGGATTCGAAATCACCGTCTCGATGCTGGCCTCGCTTTCGCTCTCAGTGTCGCAGAACTCGGGCGGTGGGGCAATGGGCTGTCCCGTGGGTGTCGAGCTGGGTCCCGGTCGAAGCACTTGCTGCTGTCGGGGCTGCAACCCGCCGACACCCACGCTCACGCTCCCGCCACCGGGGCTCGGGTGACGACTCCGACGCTGGCCCGTCAAGGGATCGAAACCCGGCGGCGGAGGCACGAGGCCTGCGAGCACATTCACTTCCGCCAGCGAGTCCACGTGGTGTTTGATCAGCTCCAGGCTTTCTTCTATCGTCCGACCACCCATGGCTCTAGCGACTGGAATCGAATATAATACGAGTACGACTACGATTACTTCAAGTAAAATGCAGCAATAATGGGACCAATGGTAAGCATCGTTAGAATACTCACATTTTCTGGGGACAGTTACGGAATGCCGGTGATATTATGCTATTTGTATTGATCGAATGTTACCGTATTTACTTAAGCACCACGCACCCCTTTTCTTTCTCAAAATTGAGAGTAAAAACGGGGATGAACATCATCGTTGGGTATACAATTTTCAGAAATTTAGGTGAACATCTGTCTCACTTGAAAGTGATCGGAAATGTTTTTTGAAAATAACTTTTTAAACTCACAACAATAAAAAAATAAATGAGTTTAAGCTGAATTCATGTTCAAATTCGCATTCTGGTGACTCTTATTATTGAAATATTGTAATTTTGCAGTCAAAAATTGCGGCGCGTTTCTTAATCAAGAGCGCGTGTTAGTCGAGTAAATACGGGACACAGTACAAGCTTCATTTGCCGCTTGTCAGCATTATTCACAAGATTCAAAAAATTTGATTTGAGTTCTGATTTGAAGGATAAACTTAGGAACTAATAGCTTATGTGGCGCTTAAAGAAGCATACGGTATAAATTTTTTTCTTTTCTCGTGGTTTTTAGTAACCTCTGCAAATGCGCATTGCACCCCTTTTAGTTACTGTGTCTTGTTTATGCGCCCGTTTCACTGGCTTCAGCAAGCATTATCACCTGAGAATAGCTGGGGTTTACTGATTCACTTATGTAAAGCAGCTTAAAATCTGCAATACTGTACAGTAGTTTGAAAGTGATGGGAAATGGTTTGGTTCGTTTTTAAATGGAGAATGTGACTAAAAATTAATCTAAGATTTGGTTCGATCTTTTTTCAGCACAAAATTGACGCATGAGGGATTGCAGCATTTGGCCACAGATTTTTTTTGTTTCGCATCCGATAAAATATGCATGAAAAGTTCAATAAAAGAAAGCTTTTGTAACTTCAACGACGTTCTTTATTCGGATGTGGTGGAAGAAAGTTTACGATACGACCCATTTTTACATGCGTAGTTGGGTGTAGTTGACTATGTAAGTGTCGCTCGTACTTTTATTCATCGGAGAGCTGAATTTAACTAAAGTTATCTACAAAGGTAAATCACAGGAATTTTCGACTACGGTTTCCGATCACATGAAATTTATTTTATTGCGTTTTTCATACAACAGCAATCAGAAGAGGAATTCAACATCATTACAGTATCAAACGATCCTCATGATATTCGTAACACCTTAGGGATAGCAGCATTTGAGCCAATTTAATTAGTCGATACATAGAAATATTTCATTACCAACATTTTCCTTCGGTTTAAATATATCCGAAAGCCAGCTCCGCATTTGAATGAAACTATTCTTAGGCCTGGCTTTAGCACATAACGTAATCACAATAATAATTTCATCACTTTTGGGCGAATCATGGATGAATGAACAACCTTAAAAATTGCTGAACCAAAAAATCCGAAGAGAGATTTTGCGACTTCGTCGATGACTTCTGAATGAAAACGAATGTATTTTCAAGTATAACTCACGAGTGTGATGGAAGTGCTGCTGTTCAGCCGCAGTTGGCCGACGAGAAAACTGCAACGTGTTGTGCTGCTTGGCTCCCTGCTGCTGCCGCTTCTCCGCCAGCGAGTCCACGTGGTGTTTGATCAGCTCCAGGCTTTCTTCTATCGTCCGACCACCCATGGCTCTAGCGACTGGAATCGAATATAATACGAGTACGACTACGATTACTTCAAGTAAAATGCACCAATAATGGGACCAATGGTACGCATAGTTCGAATACTCACATTTTCTGGGGACAGTTACGGAATGCCGGTGATATTATGCTACTGTATTTGTATTGATCGAATGTTACCGTATTTACTTGAGTACCACGCACCCCTTTTCTTTCTCAAAATTGAGAGGAAAAACAGGGGATGGACATCATCGTTGGGTATACAATTTTCAGAAAAGGTCAGAAATTTAGGTGAACGTCTGTCTCACTTGAAAGTGATGGGAAATGTTTTTTAAAATTACTTTTTAAACTCACAGCAATAGACAAGATAATTGAAATTAAGCTGAATTCATGTTCAAATTTGCATTCTGGTGACTCTTATTTTTGAAATGTTGTAATTTTGCAGTTACTAATAATAGGGACGCGTAATTTCTTACTCAAGAGCCCGTGGTAGTCGAGTAAATACGGGACACAGTACAAGCTTCATTTGCCGCTTGTCAGCATTACTCACAAGGTTCAAAACATTTGATTTGAGTTCTGCTTTGAACCTATTTGAATCCTTGATTATCGAATACACCGCGAATTTCTTCGTATGCCATATTTAAAAAAAGAAAAGAGCACCAAAAATCATTGGAGACGTTTACGCGTAACGTGGGGAAAATCAATGACACAGAATTCAAGTTATTTTCTTTCGAAAACATTGAAGTTGCTGCAAGAAATAAGCCTACACCACCTTCTTTCAAATGCTATGCTGGGTAAAAATGTACGCATCAACCCACATCAACTGATACATTCACAGCGAGATATTTTTATTCCTCGGAGAGCTGAATTTAACTAAAGTTATCTACTAAGGTAAATCACAGGAATTTTCGACTACGGTTTCCGATCACATGAAATTTATTTTATTGCGTTTTTCATACAATAGCATCAGAAGAGGAATTCAACATCATTACAGTATCAAACGATCCTCGTGATATTCTTAGCACCTCAGGGATAGCAGAATTTGAGCCAATTTAATTAGTCGATACATAGAAATATTTCATTACCAACATTTTCCTTCGGTTTAAATATATCCGAAAGCCAGCTCCGCATTTGAATGAAACTATTCTTTGGCCTGGCTTTAGCACAATGTAATCACGCAATAATAATTTCATCAATTTTGGGCGAATCATGGATGAATGAACAACCATAAAAATTGTTGAACCAAAAAATCCGAAGAGAGATTTTGCGACTTCGTCGATGAACGCTCGACTTCCCTTACTTTTGCTTACATAAAAGTTCATATTGAGTGCTCACACTACCTTCACGACGACAAGTCGGCGTCAACCGGCTGCTCTTTTGACGTTGCACAACACGACGAACCGAGGGACGACGACGGCGAAGTGCTGCTCCAACTTTTGCAGCTCTCGAACCTGATGCTGATGCTGCAACTGTTGTTGCATCACGTACTGGGCTTTCAAATCAGCCGCTGTGCAGGACTTGCCACCAGTCACGCCATGCTGCTTCTGGTGCACCTGCTGCTGCTGATAACCACCTTGCCTTGGTGGTTGTTGTTGTTGTTGTTGTTGTTGTTGTTGTTGTTGTTGTTGTTGCTGCTGCTGTTGGTAAAATTGTTGAGGCGATGGCTGGCGCTGTCCTCTGCCACAAACAACCGCTACTGGACGACGAGGGCCGCTCTCTAAAGAGCCCGTAACCGACCTCACGTACGGTCCTCCCAAATCGTTTAAAGGTGAAGCCAAAGAACTACGACGACTAAAAAGTAACAATCAAGAATAAGCCAAAAAATGTGTGAAATGTTTTCAGTGGAATACAACACTTTCAGCATCCATTTTTCAAACTGCTGCATCATAGGGGTTTCACGAAGTTACCCTGCGCAGTACGAAATGAGATAACCGAATAAATTAATTTTCTCACTTGGTTCGTTACGACGAAAACATTTCATTTTTATTTTTAGCACATGCAGCCGATGACTCAGACTGCAACATTAAATCAAAATGAAGCTTTATTTTGCGGCAACCGTGAGAAACTGAATTGAGTTCGTAAATTAGACAACAAGTCATTCACAAGTTGGCTCTTGTCATGTAATCTCAAGTCGAAAACTCCCTTACGTCACATTATTGTTTAGTCCCCGTCTGATTTCATTGCATATGCAGCATTTGCACAGAAAATTTTCCGGACAACAAATTACACTCGAACCTCAATAACTCAAACCCCCTCAAGTCATATATCGCCTGACGTTGCATTTTTTCAAGTCTCTGTCTTATAATTACTTTATAGAAACAGCGCCTTAAATCCCGTTCTAACTCGAAGGCTTTCCCACTCAAACCTTCATAACTCCAATTTTCTGGGGGCCTTTCGGCTATTACAGAATTTTATTTTTACAGAAAAGAGAAAAAGCAATAAAAATATTTTTATATGCTTTGAAGAGAAATGGAAGGCTGACTGGGAACATATAAACCTTTGCCTCTGAGTAAAGCAGAGAATTTTAAAAATTAAAAACTCAGACCTGTAATTCTTCCTCATTGCCCCCACAAAAATGCTTGTTTCCCTAACTTTAAATTTCCCTGACTCAAATTTTTCTGTTGGTCCCTGGAAGTTCGACTCGACTGCTCCCGACTGTATTTTTAACGCTTCCGTTTTAAACCAGATGAACTATTATCGTGAGCCGGAAATTAACTTGGAGAATATGCTTAAATAAATATTAAATAAAAACCCATACAGTACATTAAAAATGAAATAAAGTACTGTAAAACCTGAGGCAGCAGGGGTAGTCCAACATCCTTCAGAACTATTGGAACTCTCACTCCTTTGGTTTGAGCGCCGCAGAAGCGTTGAGCCGAGAACGTTTACGACGACGACGACGACGCTCACGACTACTAGAAAGCCGAAGTACACGGTTTGTCAGAACAGCAACCAAAGTAGTCAGCCTTCGGAAGTTTCAGAGCCATCCACGTCATTGCCCGGGGTTCCGTTGTGGTAATTCCTGAGTTCGTACGACGCTGTTTCCGTGTTGATCACGGTGACAAAGGCCTCCCCTTGGTAACCATCTTGGAGCCTTGACTGTGGTGACCTGCTTAATAGGTTCAGGAGCACCCTTTTGAGCCGACCTATGCTGAACCTACTGAAGTACGATCGACGTCTACAAGAGCTACCATAACGTGGCGGACTTTATTTTTTTTATGCAAAAAATGTTCGTCAAACAAAGAGCAAGTAATGGCGGAAAATGATGCCACAATACTGAATACAACTTGTCAACGGCAAAACGTAGAAATTCAGGAACCACGATACTTTAGCTGCAGTAAGATGGCACAGTTCACGATTTTCTTGATCAGGTTTGACTGTTTGAGCAACATTTTACCGAAATGAAAACACGAGAGGAAAGTAATAAAGGGTTGCAGAATACAGGTCCAGAAAATCAACCAGCAATGAAAGCTGTGCATCACAATTGGGAAAATATCATGGAGAAGAGGAAAATGACAAAAGTTTCTCGATCATTTGTGATATTGTAAAAATGTATCTAGGTTATGTATTTGAAAAAGGTTTTCATTTCATGTCTTCATCCGAAATCTCCTACGGTTTATTTCTGCATCAAAAGCGGATTCAATTTAATAATTTTTTAGAAGGAATTCCCGCTGTTTCACGTATTATTTTTCGATTATCTATTAAACAGAAACTAATTTCAAGGGATAAAGAAAAAGCTTTCTATCATCTATGTAATTCATTACCCGAAGTCTTCTTGTCAACAGAATATTCATGCTCAATTTTTCGGCACTCTGTAGCCCTGACATTTTTCAGGAAATTCCAAGAAGAAAATTTTCATTGCATTGAATGCACAGGTGGCTGAATTTTATATTTCTTGCATAACATTTCACCTATGTTAGACATATTCGGGGGATTGGAAAATTGGAATGTGGAACTTGGGTTTAATATGGCTGTTAGGAAGGGTAAGTGGACTAGAACTTGACGTTGTAATTTTTATATTTCAAACAAGGTTTTTGCACTTTTTAATCAAACCTTTAGTCTGTTCTGCGGTAATTAATGTTCAACCTTCTTATCGTCGAGACAAACTTGAGTCAAAAATGCCCTTGCATCACATTTCCGTTTAGTTTCCGTCTGACTTAGCTCAACAGCAATGCACTGTAAATCTCCCCCACTTAGTCTTTACCCTCAAAAGCTCCTTAATTCAAATTTTGAGATTTTCGGAGTTTTATTTTCAGGACTCATCTGGAACGAGAGAAGCAATAAAAGTGTACGGATATTTATGATTTTCAGAATGTATAGCGACTGTGAGTGAGTACAGTAATTGAGGAAATTTACTCTCGTCCCCAAGTTCAGCATACAGTACAGTCAATTCATTTATGCATCAATTGAAGTCCCAGAATATCCCCAATTTCACCTCCCTGCTGCAATTCTTCAGTTTTCCCCCTGCTAGCTGGCAAAAATGTTGATTTTCTTCCATCACAAAAACTCCTCCAGTAGATTTTTTTCTCTTTTTTTTGTTGTTGTCCCTTTTCGAATTCGAATTTTGAGAGGTGTGACTGTATAAATTATGCACAAGCGGAATCAACTGACCCGCAGCACTGGCCCTCAGCTGCTGTTGATGAGCCTGCAAATCCAGCTGGCGCTGCTGCATCCTGTGCTGATACAACGCCTGTTTCTGCGAGTCGAAATAATCGGGCCGCCTCCCGAGCGTCGCGGAGCCCCTGGGATGACGAGTCTGCTGCTGCTCGAGCAACTGGTGCTGGTGATGCTGGTGCAACATTTGCTGCTGCAGCTGCGACGTTTTCCCGCCTGCTGACGGCGTAGCCGCTGCGGCGGCGGCGGCCGCCATTCTGCTCGCAGACTTCTTCGACGGCAGCGTTTGCGCGCCAGCGTAAACGTGCTGCAAGTGCTGCGCATACGCGAGTTGCTGATTCAGGTGCACTTGATTCTCGAACGGATTGTAATCCGGTTGAGCGTGATGACCAGCAGCTGCAAAAACAGAATATTTCCATTCAAAACCGGGAAGAAACAACATACGCCTACAGAAAAAAATGGATCGATACGCGGGAAAACGAAAACAGCAACAACAACAACGAAAAACTCAGACAACAACAGCAACCAAACGTGAACTGAATGATAATTGATGAGCAACAAAATCAGAATATAAAATTTGAAAAAAAAGAAATAATTGCAAATCAATTGCAGACTAGGCCCTCAAAGTGGTCCAAAGTTTCAATAGCATGCCGAGTGGTGAAGGAACGTGTTCCAGAAATGTCAGAAAATATAAATAAAAAAACGAATTTCACGAAAAAAGTGACATTCCTCGCCGTGAAGTAACTCAAATAAAAGACGCTTTTCTCAGCTTTCGACTCACAAAATAAATCCGATTTCCAAAGACACCTCACAATCGCATGCAAAACGTTAGTCCATGGGATGACTTGAAATACGCAACCCTTCAAATTACTAATATTTCATCAATTCATAGATCACATTTTAATCACGGAGGATAAGTCTGATGAAACATTATCGCAAGCTTGAAGTGTGAAACGGATAGGCGAAATAAATTAGCAATTTCTTGTTCTTCGGGGCTTCTTTTCTTCAAAGCGAAATGTTCGGCTAACATTTTCACACAGGTGGACTTTCTCAGCAAAAAGATTCAAGGGACCAGAGAAAAATTCATTTGACAGAGAATTTTGTTTTGGAGAACCTATAATATCTAAGACATGGGAAACGAACCCCATGGGTCCCAAAATAATTCGTTATAAAGAGAAAATCATTGTAGATTATCGCAGAGAGTCCACCTGCACTACGCGTAATACGAGCGTCAATTAAAGGGAACCTTCGTTATCATGCATTACGTTTTAGGATATTTTAGCCAGTAAATAAGCTCGTCTAACTTTTAATGTACAGCATCCCGTAAAATAGTTTCCGACCGATTTTGAAGCAAATGAACGTATGCACGTCTCAGATCGGCTGAAAGGCGTTTTTCCGCACTTGCTGAAGCTTTTAAAACTCAAATAGCGTACAAAGGCGCCTTATATTCGCGTGAACACGGTACAGATTCTACAGAAAACAAATGCTGACATGCCGAGGTGTTGGAAACGCCTCACACCAACTCAGGCAATCTGGTTTTAAGATTCTTTTTTCTTTTTCGTTTTTTGTCAACTCACAATGCGAGCCACTGCTGTGCTGGACATTAGGTTTGAAAGGGTACAGCCCTGGAGGGCCCTTAGCTGTTTGAATTTGCTGCTGTTGTTGAGCAACTTTCTGCGCGAGAATGTTCTTAAATTGCGGAGCCACGGACACTTGGCCAGGACCTGGCCCTGTCGCACCCGCGGGGGGTTTCGCGGGTTCTTTACCGTCTTGCTGCTGCTGCTGTTGAAATTGCTGCTGGACTTCAGCAACCCGCTGAGAAACCGTTCCGCGTTTGATGGAATGAAGACGTTCTTTGGCCTGGTAAATTGCGTCGATCGCCTGGAAATGAGGATCGGTTTCGTTTGACTCTGATGACGTGTTGAGGTCGGGCTCGGCTCCGTTTGACTGCGAACGAGTGTGACGACGGACGTTGTCTTCAATCGTCGGAGGAGGAGGCAACGGTGGGGTGTTGACCTGTTCTGGGTCGTCCGCCTCTTCGTCTTCGTTCCCTGGGGATCCCCTGTCGACCTGAGGTCGATCTGCTCTGGGGGGCAAACTCTGAGATCGGGTTTTCATCGATTTTCTGGAAATCAAACAAGAAAATCTTCAAAATTCATATCAAAGCGAAGTATCGCGAAATTCAGAACGAATTGAATGGTCATCGAGAGGGATGAAATGCAATATTCGAACATTTCCTGACCGTTTCTAATTTTTTCCAACCAAAGTTGGGTTCGGAAAGAGGACATACACCCAAAAGTATAGTAAAATAGGTTTAATTCTTAGGCTTGAATATTTTATGAGCTTAGATGGGCAGTCTAAGATCTACACCAAATGTTTCAAGAATAAAAAAGTGACAATGCCTCAAACCCGGAAATCGTTTTTTTAATGCGGTCATAATCTTGGAATTTTCTCCGTTCGAGTGAAGAAATATGAAAAGGATCCCTTGAAATTACCATGAAAAATAAAATTATTTAGTATAAGATATGAACCTTGAGAAAAAGTTACATCGAACGAGCAAAAGCCTGATGCAAGTAATGTCAACTCGAAGCATTTCGAATGATCATATTTCTGAAGCATAACTAATCAAGCGATTTTTTTTAATTTCTAAAAAAATGATGGAACCCTCTTTGCGTATGTCCCTCTAAAAAAGTACGACAAGCCGAAGGATATTTTTTTAAGCTTGGGGAGAAATCCAGAAGAAAATCAATATACTCACGACTTGTCTTTGGCAGATTTATCCGGTGATGCATACGTAGCATCTCTTGGGGACGCATATAATTTGGCAGAACTGTCCGGTCTAAAACTCGACTGAATGTCAGCGGCAGTAGTTGGAACCGCAGGATCTTTGCAAATAGGCTCCCTAATTATTTTTGAGCTGCCATAAGGTCCACTGCCGCTAACGTCCACCTGAAATTGAAATAAATATAACATGTTTTAAATACTTGAAAAAAATCAAACTAACCAGAGTTATTTGCAAGTTTTGATTTGAACGACGCAGATCGATAAACAGAAATCACCGAACGCGTGCGCTCCTATTTAATCGTGCTGAAGATGTCGTCTGGTGCAGCTTGTTAACCAAACGTTTTTTCTCAATTACTTGCAAATTTTGTCTTTGGCTTGCTTCAGGAGTTTTACCTAACTTTTATTGCTGGGCGATTTTTTTGACACTTGAAAACTTTTACGAGAAACTTTCCTGTAAAATGATTATTTGTGAATTCCACAGTGAATTTCTTTCTGCGTGAGCCATCGAATATTGAAGCAAAACGAAAAAACTACACTTGCAATACAGAAATTCAACTTCAGAATGTATACGTGAATGTAATTTTTCCTGTTGGATGACTAACATTTTTCTATTTTTCCAAACTCGGCTCGCGCCCGGACATTTCTCCACAAGAAAAAAAAAGTCGGTCTTGAAAAATGCAGACGCTTGCCTAGTTTTACTATATTGCACCTCAAAAATCGGTCAATTTTGTTGTTGTTGTTGCTTGTCGCTGCATATGGAAATGAATCAGAAAAATCACCTTGACAATTTCACTAGCTGGCGGAGGAGGAGGCGGATGAGTCGGAGGCGGCGGAGGGACAATCTTGCGCCGCATCAACTGCACGTTGTCGTCGCTACGGGATTCGGAGTACTCTGAAAGTCCTTGCTGGTGACTACCCGAAGTACTACTATACACGTGGAGACGTTCACTGCTGAGGGTTCTGTTGGTGCTTGCGTAGCCCGATGAGTTGCTGACGTTGATGAATCCCGGCTTCAGCTCCAGGTCCTTCTGCAAGTCCGGCGTGCTGTGGAAGCTCTTGTGCAGTGACGGGTCTTCAGTCGGCGACTTGACTTTCTTGGCCTAATGACGAAACAGGAAGAGATGAGACTTCGTTGAGGAAGAGAAACGATTTTCGAAAAATGCTTTTATAGAATATCTCAGATTTGTTTTTACTTTCACGTTTCAACCGACACCATTTTTTTTCATGCATATTTTCCGTTGATTCTGATGATCATAGGTTTTTTAGCGCCAGAAATATGGAACATCTCGAACAGCGTTCCCAATACGAAGTGAGATCATCAGTAACGCATATAGTTTCTTCATTTTCTGGGTTGCCTCGTTCACAAGAATTTGAGTAAAATTTGAATAGCTTCCTCATTCTTCAATGATGAGCAGGATTTCAGCTGCCAAGAAGCAGCGTGATGAAGTCAGGGAATTCACGAATTATTAGTCGCGGAGATTTGGTTTCTTTTTTCTTTTTTTTTTTAAATCTTCGGTGAAGTGAAAGAGGGTTAGAAAACTTTGTAAACGAGAGTTAGAGATCCATTTATCGATATTAACCAAATTTTCCGACGAAAAAGGCTGTGAACGATTTTCAACAAGATCTCGTGAACGGATCGACACTACGACTTCAAAAAAGGTAAATTCGATTAAAATCCTGATGGTACTGTTGATTTTCTAGTCGGGATATCAACTTCTAGAATTCAGTAGAATGACATATAATGAATTCAGAAGTAGGAAATAATGTATGAGCCAATCCTGCCTGTACGTTATGCATTTCAAATTGCGACACAAAAATGCAGTGATATACATAATGTCTCTGAGCCCGGATTGGCTCATATTTCTCTCTTTAAAATTCAATACATGTCATTTTACTGAATTCTAAGGAATGATATCCAGTTCTTACTTACTTGCAAAACATCGGGCAAAGAATCTAGCGAATTGTTTACACCTTCCGTCAATAACTTTCCTTCATTTCTTATCTTTGAAGTAACCCTGTATGGGATGATCAGGCTAAATCTTTTAAGAATATTGATATTTTTGACTTGAAGAAATTACAAATTACAGCAAGCTGTCGTAAAAATGGTGGGGTACACATGGAACACATTTTCTAGAAAACAAAATACATTCTGGAAATTAAAGCATGCCTGAATTTCTGGACATGATAAAAGTGGAAATTTGAACACGAGGCACACATTTTGCTTCATGATTTCGAAGTCTTTTTTTTCCAATGGCTAAGGCTGTGAACAACAAAATTTGCACATGAATCATCAAAGTTTTTCTACGTTGAAAAAAAAGAGCATCAGATGAAAGCCGTTCTGAGTTTTTCGAAAATGCTACAGTTTAGAATTAGGTCAACTTCTTTCTCTGACACACAGAGCGAAACGAAGTGGAAACAACTCACTTTATTTCGCTTCATCTCAGCGACGCTGGCGTAAACTTTGATTGGCGAACGTTGTTGCGAATCCCCAGGTATTTTGTTGCCACCGTTCGCAAAAATTTCGTCCAGTTGAGTCGGAACAAATCGTCGCGAAGATGGTCGGGAACGAATCGTCGCTGTTCGTTGTTGTTGGTCGCCATTCATGGAAGTGGAATTCATCCAGCAATCCAACCTTTCGTATCCACTTTCTGACATTGACTCGGAATTTTGGGTATCGCCAAGTTCTGCAAAACGAGATTCATGCCCTCAGAAGTCAAAAGTCAACGCTTTGAAAAATTTCTTCACAAACTCATATTATTAAAGCTTGCAGGTATTGAATTTCAAGTGAATTAATGTTCGCCCACTTCTGATTGTGTCAGAACGTCATCAGCATCTAAATGAAACACGGGTACCTTGATTAACGTCTTTCGAGTTATTTATTATGGAGTGACGAGGTTTTCACACTTATTTTCCGGTATGTCTGAGTATCTCACATAACATATGTCCGTTCGAAAAATTATTTCCAGTTTTTAAGAACAGTAAATTTGTGGTGAGAGTGCATCTGTTAAAAATCGGACTCGAGCTCTTCTTTTTAGTCACACAAAATCAGGACAACCTGTTCAGAATATTTAGATGATTCCAGAAATTAACCGCTCTTAGAGAAGTGCAGATAAATTTGTCTCCTCCATCTTAGTGCTATTTTTTTTTTAGCAACTTCACTTTATTCATTCTGAAATTATGCGCGATGGTTTTGATGAATGCGAATATATTTCCGATGATGAGTCGTCCAAGAAATATGCCAGTCTGTTCGAGAAATTCTACGGAATGAGCGAGGAAAAAGTAAAGAGAAACGATTGAACCAGGTCAGGCTTGATCTGATAAAAAGTTTCAGGCGTGGGAATTGTTCCTGGTGACAATCACACGCGGACGTGGAAGAAAATTAATTTACACGAGCCCCCACTAATTTTTGTCCCAAATCGAAAAAAATTGGTTAGCAAATGAAATATTAAACAATTCTTGCAGCAACAACAAAATCAGCCTCATTCGACTTTCGTGAATGATATTTCTCGAAATTGCGCGGGCTTTTCCCGGAATTTGGCTTGAAAAAGCGTTCGGTTTTCTGATTTCCATGTAAGAAAATGATCGAATTTCGGCGTTGGTCGCTTTCAAAACCCGAATATAATGGCTTTCTCCTTTATTCGAAAAAAAAATTGGATTTCCCAAGGCAAAAATGTCCTTCAAATATCTTCCACAGTAGAATAGAAAAGTAAGATTACTTGAATCGAACGCCCTACTGCGAGGTAACGTTGGAACAATTCTTTTTGGAGAAAATTGCTACGATTCTAACATGCAACCCGTTAGCTTCGAGATAATTGTTTGGACCTCACAAATCTAACGAAGTAAAATTAAAGCATTTATATTTCTTCATTTTTAAGAATTGAGATTGCAAAAAATAATTAGCTTAAGAAACGTTGCCAGTTCCCTCAAAACGCATCGAAGTGACAAGACGCAAATTGCCTGGGGCAGTTTGCTACAACTTTGCTCTCTCTCTCAGCTGAAAATCGGTTTCTGAAGAAAGTAAAATTATACAACAGTACTGTCCGACAGATCTGTCGGCAAATACGCAGAGGATTTATACACGTTCCAGTTCTTCGTCAAATTTATGATCCCAGATAAATCCATCCTCGTCTTTTGAATATCTAGAGACAGGCTTCGCGCCGGTGAAGATCTGGAACTAGGATCCCGGAAGATGATCCACATGCATTTCGTGGCGTGAAACAAGGACGTAAACAAGGGAGATGTGAAATATCTCAGATATCACTCACGCATTTCCTGAAGCGTGCCGACGAAGGACTTGGCTCTCGCTCTCCCGACGCTCAAACTCGTCTTCGGATCTCGCTTCGGCACCGGTGGCGCAGCTGCACCTTTGGCCACTGTTCAAATGAGAAGCAGGACATTAAAATCTTGGATTTTCTTTTATCAAATAAGCATTTTTTCTGAAAGAACCTGATACTGTAAATATTGTGTTTTTTCAGGGCTCCACGGCATTTACACGATTGCGAATAACAGCAACCGGATTCTGGTCGGTCTTTTGAAAAAATAATACTGTAATAATATTTGTACAGCGCAGGCCGCAAAAAATAGCCGCAGTGCAAATGAGAAGCAGAACATTAAGTCTCGAATAAACTCGGTTTTTTTTTTTTCATGGAAGAACACGATTAAATATTTTTTCGGGGTTCTACTGACTTGCGAACCGTAACCTGATTTTGGTTAGTCATTTGAAAGATAAATATTTGTACAGGGCAGCCCGCAAAAAATAGCCGCTGTTCAAGTGAGAAGCAGGACATTAAGTCTTCGATGTTCCTTAATCAACTCAGCTTTTTTTTTCAAGGACAGGATAAATTGTATTTTTCAGGGTTCCACCGCATTTACGCGATTGCGAACAGGACCCTGATTTTGGTCTTAAATTTCAAAGAAAAATATTTTTTACACTGCAGGCCGCAGAAAATGGCCAGTGTTCAAAAGAGAAGCAGAACATCAATGTTATTGAATAAAATCAGCTTTTTTTTTCAAAGGAAAAACATGATGTACACTACCATGTTTTTCAGGGTTCCGCTGCATTCACGCGATTACGAACCGCAACCGGATTTTGGTCAAGCATTTGCAAGAAAAATATTTTTGCAGTGCAGGCCGCAGAAAATGGCCACTGCTCAAGTGAGAAGTAGGAAATACAAATCTTCAATTTTCTTGAATCAACTCAGGTCTTTTTAAGCATGATAAATTATGTTTCACCGGGTTCCGCCAAATTCACGGAATTGCGAACAACAACCTGATTTTTGTCAGTCATTTGAAAAATAAATACTTTTACAATGCAGGCCGCAGAAAATTATTGAGATTTGATAGGAAAAAGAGTGAATAAAATACGTCTCCTCAGCCTGTAAAATGGGGGAAAATTCATATCCTCAACGAAAACGAAAAATGTAATTTAACGCTGAAATAACTCAAAAATAGTAAGGAATCACACGAAAAGAATATCCCGGGTGCTTTTCTGTATACATATTATTATACAGGTACAGTATTTCCCTTTTTATAGTGAGTTTATCCCGAGTACATTCCGTATCCGCGTTTTTAGCGAATTCTCAGGCAAACGTGACGACTTCAATTGAGTAAGGACGAGTTTTTGATATAAAAATCGTAAAGCAATCGAAAATATCAAGGGGTCATCATTTATTTGAAGGTTACTTCACAGAAACTCAATTTGAAATTGATTTTCTGCAGAAACAGGGCTAAAACCTCCCCTATACCGATTTCGAGACGTTGACATACCCTGAGGAAAATTTCTGCTTCAACGTTTGATGTGTCTCATATAGCCACTGCATTTTTAATGAAATGATCATGTGAAGTTCGTTCCACGTTCGCATTTTCCTCGAAGCTTCGTCGTTTAACAACAGTTTTTCCACTCATGTTTCAGCAACAAAAACAAAAAAAGGCTTCTCCGAAGGGAATGCTTTCATCTCTGCTTCTATTCGATTTTCATAATGCTCACGTATTCAGCTCCCAGCACGTTCACGAGGATTACCAAGAACGAATTACTGGAGGTGATTAACTGTACGTGCATCTAACGTTGGTCATGACGGAATGATCCTCTTGCCGAACAATCATTACAAGGAGAAATTCCGTCACGAGATCCGTTTTTTTATGGATAACTATAAATACAGTACATTATTTTCGGCGAGAAGCTCGCAGACAGGGTTTTCCGATTCTCTGGAAATGTCCCCATGAATATGAATAGCCACTTTTTTTTTTTAGGCGTGGTATTCTCAGAAACTCGGAATTCAGTACTGCACTGTACATCATAAAGTTTTGAAAAAAAAAATTTTAATGCATTTTTATTGCTATTTTTCAGAACGAGAAGCGCGTTCTTTCGTCGCTCTGTAATTTTGACTTCGAAACTAAATTACGGTACATAGTATCCACAAGGACGAAGAAACTTACTGAGACGTCGGGGTAGAGTGGCACATTGTCGACCAGCAAGGTTGTCGTCGCCGCCGACGGTTGAAGTGTCGGTTTGGCCGACATCGTCGCCATTTCCGGCGGAAGAAACCGTGACGACGGTCATGGTTACCTTATCTCCGGCCTCGCGGATTTTGTCCACCACTTTCTCGTGCGGCAGTTTCGACACGTCGTCGCCGTTAATCTGCGCCAGGCACGAAACAACACCATCGTCGTTATCTCGGCATTAATCTCATGACTTATATTGCACGATTCTTATGGGAATTGTGCGAGCATCAACGTCATTCGAAATGAAGATTATCAACACTTTTTTTTGAACGAAAAGTCCAGTTTTTGTGCATTGCGCGCCTAATCAAGAACCGATTCAATAACTTGTCTCCGGCGCAAAACGATATCTTCGATGTTGACTAGTAAAACTACGGAAATTTCAAAAGAATAGAAAATCTGGAGTAAAAATACGCTTTACGAGCCCGAAGTACTGACTTCCATCATGAACATTTTCTGACGAGAGAACAAATCATTATTTATTCCGTTCTGCGAGACAATCATGCAGTCATACTCAATTTTTTTCAACGACCGAAAAAAAGTTGACGTCATGTCAGGAGAAGACGTCGCGGTGGAGAAAATGTCGTCATTCAGTCAAAACAATAGATCGAAAACGCACGGAGATAAAATTCCCTTGGTGGGTTTACGAATGTATTTATTCTGGAACGGATCTATTTCCGATAAAAGCAAATGGTGAAGTAAACTTAAATTTTACGTGATTTTAAATTAGGTACGTAAAAACATTCAAGGTGTAGCGTGAAGACTGTAAACTATTTTCTTCCGACAAAATCTCTCCAAAATTTCCTTTTCCTACCGAAAGCTGAATTAACGGCATGTAATGATGGTACCAGGACAAAATACAGTATCAGCAGAAAAACAATGTCGGTGAAAGAATTCAGGAAGTTGAAGAATACTCCAATCAAAAGCATGAAGTTAATCCCAAATGCCTTTTGCTGTAAGTGTTTGCAATTGTGGAATAAATAATTGAAAAATCGGCCACTTTCAAGCAGAACTGTACCGTTGGTGCTTCGGGTTGTTTCAAGGTGTAACATGCGGTTTTTAAAACTTTATATTATACTATGAACGAACTTGAATGATTTTTAACAAAGTTATAATTCCTCTTTGAAATAATGTCCTTCACAATACAGTTCGACGTTCGGACTTCTCCAATTCTTCGCATGAGGTCTTTTTTTTAAGGTGACCTTCCTGACAAAAGCATTGCGTAAAAATTGCCCATCTCAAGGTTGCAAGACGGGATTAAAGTGCGACCCTTATTGTGGGTGGTGAGTCCTATTCATAGACGTGAAGGCATTAATCTCACGTTCATCTTGCGAACTAGAATCGTCCTTACACTCCGTTATAAAATGAAGGCCATAGTTTGAGGTGTATTGAGTTCAACTGCTTTAGGAGGACAAAACAAGACATTCTCCGTCGCTATCGACTGCGGTATTCTGTACTCGAAAAGTCGCCCAAAATTATCCATGAGGACTACTGTAATCAGTGGACAATTTTTCCATTTGAAATGGCTTTTTAAAATACTGTACGAGTCACTGTGGTGCCCCTTTCATCGTCACAAAATCTCACTCGAAAAAAAAACAACACTGCCTCATGAAATCGAAAACAAACTTCGACGGAACTGTGACATTGTATAGTGTTTTTAAAAAAATCGCAGTTCGTCACATTCTCTGTAGAGCAATTCAACTCGTACAGGTGTAACTGATTTGATGAAAATGTCGAAAAACTTGGGAGTCGAGTTATTATTATTTTTTTCAATTATCCATTAGAATTCCGGCCACCAAAATGCTGAGATTATTTTCCTCTTGATCTCGCTCGGACACGGAAGATAAACATGACCCGTTTCCGCCATTTGCTGAATATTTTTGCAGCTTTTGCCCTCCGACTTGATGCAAAAAGATGCTTCATAACGTTTTTTTCTTTTATTTATCTATCAAAATTAATTTTCTACTTCTCGTCTCATAAACGCTTTCCTGAAATTTTCATGCTGGATCATGTGAAAATACTTTCTGGAAACTTTCCAAGATGGATTTCGCGAACACCCAAAACAAACGGAGCAATGATTGAAAAGTAATTTTTCGCTTTGAAAAAGGCCCGTTTTCCACCAAAAAAGACATACGAGGTATGATGACTTATTTTTAAAAATGCAAGTCAATCAATTCAAGTTTCAATAATTCCAAAAATAACTGGCTTTTGTTGAAATTGATACCATGTAAGAATGAATCTTTCAATTCATTCAATACTCTTTCCTATTATCTTTTTACAGAATAGGTAGCTTCAAATTTTGAATGTTTGAGTTTCTCTATCGGTGAAAAGCAGTTGAGAGAAAAATGTCGGAGAAGAAATGTCTATTAAACATTTCAGGTACAGTTTACTGCTTTTTGAAATGAGGTACGATTTTTATGGTTCCATTTGAATCGCATTGGGCTTTTGATAATTCGCTACATTTAGTTTTGTAGCATTTAAGTGGCATAATAAATTCTACGGTTTCCATCAATCATTTGGAAAGATCCTCGAACATTTTTTTTTGCCATTTCATTGTTCTTCTCCCTTCATTTCGGGCTCTGTTAAATATTATTTCTACAATCCCCTCATTTTCGCAGACGTGATTTCTTCTGCAGCGAAATTGCTTCTCTTTACACAACTCCTGTCCTGTCGTCTCCTTCGACGTTTTCTTCACGCCGACATTCTCTCCTGACATCCGTCATCCAAATATTGGCGTTATATCATCTCCTTCACATAACTCGTCCTCCTGACTCCTCATAGATGTGTTCTTTACATACTGTACGCGCAGACATTCTGCCCTGACAATGGCTCAATCAAATATTGGCACTTCGAGCAGGCAGAAAAAAAAAAAGGAAAACGAAGATGAGAAAGAATGCACACTCACGGCCAGAAGGAAGTCGCCCTTGAGCAGACCGGCGTTGCTGGCGACCCCACCGAGCTCGACCTGGTCCAGGTACTGCAACGCGGGGCATTTCGGGGACGGGTCCAGGCCGACCAAGGGGCTTTGCGCCCGTGCCCCGCGCAGAACAAAGCCGAACCCCCTCGGACCCCTCACCAGGCTCACTGTTCGCGGCGTGCCTGCACACTGCTTGCTGCCACTGCTCTTTCCACCACCAACCGCCGACCTGCGCGTTCAATTCAGAAAAAAAAGGAAATAAAATGAAAATACGTCTCACAACACGGAAAGTTTTCTGGCAAAGCACCAACAACAACAACAACGAAAAAAAAGCTCCCGCTATTTTGTTCTCCCCCCCCCCCCCCTCCTTGAAAAAAACCGAGACTATGAAAAGAAGAAACGTCTTCAATCACTCTGACGACTCAGGCAGAGATAAATACTCCCTCGTGTAGGTGAGGAAAATATGAAGTGGCTAGAAACATTATTCTGATAGCGTTGTTCTTTTTTCGGGCCTACTTCCTACTTTCTCCGCTTTAGCAACGAAGCAGTTATTTAAAAAAAAATTAAATTTGAGTAACAGAAGAAATGTTGAAATTCAACGACGGACAAACTATTAAAACGATTCTGATTTTCCCCTCGCTTGCATCACGCAGGGAAGAGATCAATTCAACATTTTTGATAGTCTCGTAACTCGAAGAGGAAAATTTCGAGTTCCTCAGCTTCTGAGGCAGAAAAAGGACAGTACTCGAAACGTGAATTGATTGTTTATACAAGATAGGGACGACACGCTAACATCGATTTGCTTCATGGATAGAACACTTCTCAAAGCTTGAAGAAATTTGCAAGCTCGTGCTCATTATTCACCCAGTGCAAGAAAATCTGTCGCAAAGGTGAAAACCCCGCAGATTCTATGGCCCAAGAAATAAATTGCCGCCTCCATTCATGTACTGCATAGGTCACCTCTTTTCACTTCGAAATAGCAGAAATGTTTTTGCAGCCAAAGCTGTTTCTTTCCTGAAATGGCTGCCCTAACCATTGAAGCAGTATGCGTCAATTATAAGCGAGCTGCCCATGTTAAATTTTCTCTGGAACACTTGGCATGCAAACATTTCTTGAAAGCATTTCAGTGGGGTTGTCGACCTTTCCAGGCATGTAATATCGATGCAAATGAAACGCGAGAAATAATTTATTCCACTGAACCGTATGTTGAAGAGTTCGATTTATATTTTCTTTCCAAAATAATATTAGCAAAAGTGTAATTGCGACAATAAAAATTAAAAACTCTAAAACAGGTTGCGTACTCTGCTCCATCAGTTTTATCCCGGGTGATTTTGATGAGTGATGAAAGATGGTGCTGCTCTCGCAGTCTCATATTATTTTCTGCTTTGGCCTCATGAAGATACTCCTGTCTTTCCCATTCAATATTCAAATACAACCTCGTACACACAACACACACACACACATACACAACAGCACAAGAATATGAAATTACATTACAAAATCTGATTCGAGCTCATTGTTCCGGGAATTTTTCGCGAAGAATGTATGCGCATAACACGCTTCGAATCCAGCGACACGGAGAAATATGCAAAAACATGCACAGTTCCCCTGCTTCTAGAGTCTTACTTTCTTCCAAGCGATAGCAAAACTTTTGTTTGTTCTCGAAAGGTCTCGAGGCCTCGAGCTACTTTTTCCCTCTTGGGTCACCTTTTCATATTCGCACGCCTTCATGCAGTGTCACGGAAACGAGACCACCGAATATGCACGCGAATCTCTCGCGGAACAGAAAATCCGAAATGCACCGAGAGAATGATGATTTCCAGTAATTGTTTTTTTTTTTTTTTTACATGCGACGCAGCTGTTAATCAATGCGATTGAATTGGAATTAGATTTATTTATGGTCGACTTCACTTATTATTATTGTTTTTAATTTCCACGCAGGACTAATCCGGTGATTTTTCTTTCATGCGACGCAGCTGTCAATCAATTTGATTGAATCGGAATTCGATTTAAATACGGTCGAGCTCACTTTTTATTACTATTATTATTCAATTCCCCGCAGCACTAGTCAGGTCCAGCGCCGATTTCCAACTGAACTTTCATCAGAGGGAAAGCTGAGGCCGGCGCTTGCTTGCTCAGAAATCGCGCGCGGCTCGCTGCTACAATCGCGGCCGACTGCTTACAAAGGTGCATTGGAATGCGAGAGGATTCGGAGTCTTCACGAAGTTGCCTGAACTTTCGTCAGCCTATTCCCTATTGTATTCTGTCAAAGAATACACCCTTTTAAAATTTGTTCTTGGGACGAGAAATGATTAATATTTCCGGGACATTCGCAGCATGCGTTCGAATATTGCGTCAGAGCGACATCATAACATTTTGAAAGGATTTGAGCCCGTTATTGAACCTTTTTGCAGAAATGGAAGTCGTCGAGTCGAACCTCACAAAGTCAAAAGCCTCGTAATTCGAATTTATAGATTTAAACTTTTCGAAAAAAGATTGATATTTCCGGGTATTCGCAGAATGCGTTCGAATATTTCGTCAGAGAAATCATAACATTTTGGAAGGCTTTAGGTATATTGAACCTTCGGCACGAATGGAAGTCATCAAGTCGAACCTTACAAGGTCAAAAGTGTCGTAATTCGTATTTATATTAAATTAACTGGCAAATCCTCTCAAGCCCAATCTCTCTGATAAGGAACCTTTGGGTCAAATCCCCCTGACTCGGAACTTTTGGGTGAAACCTCCAAGTCGACGCCTTCAGGCCATTTTGTTAATAAATCGGGTTTACACTTTAAAACACGGGTTCCAGAATAAATAAAAAATACCCAAGGGATTCGGCGGGTATTACATCCATGAACACCTTTTAAAAATGTTACCGAAAAATTAATTGATTAACCTATCTTAGTTCAGCGAAATTCTCAATCGAAAACCCCAAAAATGCTTAAAATTATTTGAAAAATAATATCCAGTAATTAAGTGACACAAATTCAGCCAGCTTCAATAATTGGAAGCCCCAAAAGTTTTGGAGTCCCTTCGAAGTCGACTTGGGGAGGTTCCACTGTTCTAACTAGCATACGATATATCTCATATTCCAAAAAAAAACGCAGAATAAAAATTTAAAAATACACCTAGCAGAGGAATTCTGAAGAGGAATATCTGAATCATTTCTACAATGACTTGATGGGAATTTCTTGGGTGAAAATCGAGTTTGAAAACTAAGTAATGAGCGGTTTCGAAGTGTCACAGGAAAACCCAACCGAGTTATCAACAAGCATAATCACGCTGAAATTGGGATCAATAACTATGCCGAAAACCTTTCCAGTTCCTAGCAAAAATAAATGAATAAAGAAAAAATTTCCAACGGGTCTATGACCATAAATTTCTTTGAAATTTGTCGGAATGACTATTGCACACCTGCGTCGAGAATACTTGGATTTTAAATGAAATTAATCTCAAACTTAAACCGTTGCAACGAAACGCTGCAAAAATAAATGATTTTAGCGTTCCGCTGTTAAATTGGTTCTGAAATTAATCCTACAACAAGAAAATATGATTTCGGGGTAAAAACTACCCTGAAAGAGTTTTCTTATACTCGATCTCTTGTATTCGCACTTTCGAATTCAGTCAAAACCAAGAACCAAATCCACTCTTACGAACAGAAACGCCATAATAGAGTTGATTTTTCGAATGGGGGCATATTTTTAGAATGCCCCCAAAAACTAGCATTTTCCGCGTGAATTTAGAGCGTGAATTCTAAGGCTTGTGTGATTTTTTAATGTTCAAAATCGCAAGTGAAGTGCTTTTTTATATTCACATAAATACGGGTATCATCGAAGACAATCTCGTAAACTTTTCTAGCACCCTCGAAGAACTCTTATTTTCTCCAAGAACACACACACACACACGAGCACGAGTCAAGCAGCAAACAAAAAATAAAATTGACTGTGTTAGTCAGACAAGTCGTAGTAATGGAAGTGGCAGTATAGGCAGAATGAGTCTTTGAATAATCAAAAGAATTCGACACTGCCGCTTTCACCGAGATATGCAAGGATATTTGCGTTCGGAAAGAAAATCAGCTCTCGCCTGATTTTCCCATCGAAAGTCACACTATACTGTACTCGATAGCGAAAAAAAAAAACTCGTTATATTTTTTCCACTGTTTATTCCCACGAATGTTATCAGAATATACCGTATATATGTTCAACGATAAAAATCAGCACGCTATTTTTTGAAACTTCAACCCGCTTTTGGTCACTGTTTTACGCAAGCACAAATTTCCGCCAAATAATATTAATTTTATATAAGAATGTAATTATAATAATTTTTATATTCTGCACGAATCTTATCAAAATATACTGCATGTTCGACAAGAAAGATTTGCATGCGATTTTTTGAAACTGCAACCCGGTTTTGGCCACTGTTTTACGCAAGCACACAATTCCACCAAATAATAATAATTTTTAACGCAAACCTCGACGAAGTTAAACTTCCTTTGCTGTTTGAAAACGACTCTCATAATCCCAAAATAACAAAAGCGCGAGCAACAGGGTTGATAACCTTTTTTTCATCGATGAACGAAGTACAGTATAGTCTTGTATTCCGAAACAGTAACAACAAAAAAGGACAAAAAAGGTGACCACGGGGCAATCAAGCCACCAACTGCAATCCAACGTTTCCTGGTAGAATTCACGGTTTGACACACAACCAAAGGCAGTGATTCCAACGGAACTGCGCCAATAATCCCGCTCAAATGATCCCATGAAACTAGTCAATCGCATAAAAAATTACTCTGCCGCTTCATTCCGATGATCCTAAACGTTTTCGCGGAAAGTCTATCGAACTTTCTTTCCGGACATCCGGTCGAACTTTCGCGGATTCATCGTCTCAAATTGCACACAGCGTTCAAGTGGGTTCAATAAACAGAAAGAATTCAGGGCATCAATGCAGAACTTCGAGGAGCTTCAAAACAGATGGGCGTTGATTGATGTCAGAGGAGAATTACGATCGTAGGTAGGTTCTCTACATTGGTTTCATGTACAATAAGTATAATTTTTTCTTCTTCTGCATAGTAGAGGTACTATCCAACGCTTTTCTGGACCTGGCGTACATTCCGTTGATGGAAATTCGGCTATTGCTGAAAAAAATCTCTCAAACTAACGATCAAATGTATTTTATGCGAGTGCAAGACACATCCAGATTTTGATTCTTCCATTAAAAATGTCCGAATAAGCATCGGAAATTTTCAACGCACACACGATGTAGCAACTGGATTTGGCCCAGACGTGAGCTGACACAGACAAAGAAATAGTGTGAACATACAGTAACATGAAATTGGTCAAAAGGTCATGCAAAACTGAAATAAGTCAGCAGAACATTAGGAAATATCGCTCGGAAGCTGTTTCGTTCCAAACAATTCCGTTTTTTTTTCATAACTTCATTTTTCCCTGACTTGATATTTCTACATCCACATGATCTCAATTAAAATAACTGTATCGGCCCCACCTTCGAAAAAAAATCCGAGTTTCTCGAACATTTTCCGCACCTCGGTTTTTTGTGGGGGGGGGGGGGGGGGGGGGGGGGGTATTATTATTTGGTGGAATTGTGTGCTTGCGTAAAACAGTGGCCAAAACCGGGTTGCAGTTTCAAAAAATCGCATGCAAATCTTTCTTGTCGAAAATGCAGTATATTTTGATAAGATTCGTGCAGAATTCCGTGGTCCCATAGAGTTCTTTTCCCATGCTCTAGCTAGTATAGCAGTCCAGCGGTTCTCTATACAACGAAATTATGTGCAAAGCGTAGTTTTTTCTTTTGTTTTGGCCCCTTGGATTTCGTTGTTGAGAGAAAATTAACAACTTTACAACTAGACACGTAGACAAACTTCGACTCTAGGTAAACTGCGTGTTTTTTGCCCCCTTACAAAAAAAACACGCCTCCGCACCGAGAGGTTTGGAAAGTGACCGGGAAATTGTGGCACCCCGCGGCAATTAGCAACCCCGAGTCCCGTGAGGATGAACCTCGGACCAGCAAGAGAGAAAATGCAGAAAAAAAAGGAGCGTTTTCGGAAAATAAAGAATAGAAGGAGCGAAAAGCGATCGTACAAGAAAACGTGCTTCCAGCAGTTGACCGCAACACACGCGATTCCGGCGGAATTTCTCCACACCCAACAACGCACGTGTGTTTTCTTGCCGCGGACGCGATGAGGAATCTAATTGAACTGACAGCCGTAATCACGCAAACACCGACGATTTTTCGGTTTCTGCCATTAAAAAAAAAAGAAAAATAAAGAAAACTAACGCTTGTGAGCATCAACTTTCAGCAAAAGTGATCCTTGTTAACTCGTCAAAAATCCGAGGACTGCTCAACAACTGCGCTCTAGATCACGGAATGATCCTTTTATGCCCGGCATTCGTCTCCTTCATTTCTTCATAAAAGAAAAAAGCAGGCTAATTTTAAAAACATTCACCCCTTCAAATGGTACATCTATTTTTTAGAAATCCTTACAATTGAACATGATACACGTTTTACTGATCTGAATGTTCTAAATTCAGAAATTAACTGAAGCAAGGAATATTCGGAGGTGAGAAAACTCGAGGCAACATTTTTCCGGGCATTTTCCTTCGAATTCGAAAGACGGAAATCGAAAATATTTAATATTATTCTGTTGAAGGGTTGGGTACCCTTTCTTTGACAATTGAACGTCAGATATTCTTGGTCACGGTATTAAAAAAAATATTCGAGCCGGTGAAAAGTATGAATTGCCTTAGATTAAATCAATGATATTCCGGAAAGTAATGTATCTGGATACATAGCCTAGAAAATCAGAAATTGAACAAGGCATTTTTTATAACTTCAAACTGTTTCAACGGCAGCAAATCCAACAATTCAACACTGAAGAAAAATTGTCTTCGAATGCAAGTCGAGCTACGAGAGATTAAGGGCTAGAATATAAACTGAGAATACCGCTTTGAAAGTAAAATTCGTTAAGCAACGCACGAGGTAAACAGAATTCTATGACACAGCTAAAAAAAACCAAAGATCATCAGATATGTAATGCAATTAATTTGTTTCGCCGTTTTAATTGCGAGAGCAGCTTCAGCCATGAAAGATGCATTACTCCTTTAAAATAGTCAAATCTTTGGAGATCGTGACCTCAATTCAGTATCACCCGCACGTTGTGCCACAAATTTTAACCTGAAAAAGCCTATCATTTGACGTTATCAACAAAAATCTACGCTACTCAATTCAGAGCCACTTTCAGCATATGGCCATTTTTAACACTGCCCGCTTTATGAGGTCGGCCAAAACAATTATAAATCCGTTCAACCCTCGATTTAGCTCGGTACTATAACCTCGCTAAATGCAAAATTAACTATTAGCAGACGGTGGTCCTAAATAGTGGTTGAAAAAAATAAAAGAAAAAAATGGGCCACCATTTGAAGCAGGCAGTGCTTTCCTCGCCAGTCGTTTAAAATCGAACGCTCTTCTAAAGTTTTGTCGGTGTCTAAGTTTGTTTTTACATTTTTAAAAGTAGAAAATTTGGATTTACCACAGCATGATTGACTTTTCTCGAGCTTTTTTACGAGACGTGTAGCACGTCTTGAAACAAGACTGTTATTCGCCCGCCGGAGAACGCCATCAGCTGCTCGAAAAAAGAACCCTATCCGCAATAACAAAGACCACCGTTGGGAACGTGTTCAAAAGAAAAACTCTCGCCATCACAAAGCAGGAGAACAACAGCCATCGAAAGGAGTGAAAAAAAATTTAATGAAAAATAAAAGAACACGGACTAAGGAATTTCACTAGACCCCGCAGCACCAAGAACAATTAGGCTTCAGATCTGACGAAGGAATGCCAGTCACGGGCAGCAGAAGGGCAAAAGAAGAGACACACGTACACTCACCGCTTGGGGAAGAAAAATTTTTGTAGAAAATAAGAAGCAGCGCCCCTATTACAAAGAGCTGGGGGGAAAAAAAGTGGCAAACTTTTTTTTCTCACTCTCTCTCTCCCTCTCTTCATTTTCTTGCATCTAGAGTTGTTCTAGACGAGGAAATCAGGGCAACGAGCCGGCGGGTTGAATAAAAGATTTTTTGTTTTGTTTTTCGCGAGTGCGTTACTCGGGCGAAGGGGCAATTTCGCCCGCGGGTCATTATATCGGCTCTGCGCCGCTTGCTCAAAGACGCCTCGGATATCACCAATTAGTCCGCAGCGATTTCGAATCCTCAGGACCGAATTATTCACCACCCCACTACACCATAAACACACACCCATCAGTGTAATGAGCACGTCGAACGAAAAACGGGAATCTTCTGAATCAAGTTCACATTTATCAAGAGGTGGCTAGAGAAGAAATCAAGCATTATATAAGCTTGGTGTGTAGGACAGTATTCCTTTCTGGAATGAAATTCGGAAAATCGCCTGTTCGGATTTCGTTCAATAAATAAATCCTATTGCGCAATGTAATTTTTTTTTTTTTTGACGAGAATCTCCAGTCGGAGAATCGCTGGAAAAGAAGATCACTCTATTACCCCCATATTTAAAAATCGGTTATTCGTTCGTTTTCAAACAGTCTCGAATTTCACGATGCTCAAGTTGCTAACTTATACAAAATGAAGAACGGAAGTGTCAACTTTCTTTACTTAATTTCATGAGTAACCCGGGGAACAAGCTGATTTTCGGAATAGCTTCTTACGGAAATATTGTGCATCCCTCTTTCACAGATGAAAATTCTGAAAATACCTTTTTTACTGAGAGATCACGAAGATAAAAAATGTATCTTATGAAGAAGAAATCGTTATTAAAATCAAAGTGAATATAAAGTCAGTTCGAGAATAAACGCCGAATCGATTTTGAAATATGGGAGATCAATATAGTTATCTTCTTTTTCTTTAGCGATTCGCTGACTGCGTGATTCTCTTCAAAAACAAATTACGAAACTTGCACAATTTCCATGTAAAGTCTTTCAACCTAGAATAGAGCGCTTTTAACTTTTGTTTCTCCACCTACAAATACCGAGAACGGAAAATCTTTCCCAAATAACTTTCGAAATTTTACTTTTACAGGAATCGCTCAGGTTATCAACAGCTGTAGAATTCCGCCCATTGCATGAGTCTTCCTCACAGAAAATCAGAGTAATTGTATCACTTCTATCGTCGATTAGACCTTTCTTGAAATAGAAAAAAATTCAACCAGGATTAAAAGGATCCCAAAAATTTTCCCGGATTTTCACATATAAAGTACGAGTGTCACTACAAAATTTATCAGGTATATAGTCAAATATTCAGAAATTATAAGTTGCTACTGATAAATTATCCGGTGACTGCCAATTCACAACATGAAACACCACACACCGCGAAAGAGATGAAGCTGATACTTTTCCAAGCACTCGTGCCAATTAATTAAAATTTTGACTTCCCGGTCGAGATTTTACAGCAAACCGTAATTTCGGAAGACCACAGGTGTTTCTTTCAATTTTTTCTACATTAGAAGATTAGATGAAAAACACTCATTGTCTTGTCCGTAATGCACACAAAATTCAGAAACTTCGTGGAAAGAACTTCTTAATAGACCGGACATCTTACAAGAGAAGTGACAAGAGTCGACCCAATTGCTGGATCGACGCAGGTGAGCTGAAACAAAAAACCTCAATCACGGTCAACGCAGTCATTAATCAATCACCGAGCCAATGGCCAGATCAGCATGACTCAACACAAACGCCTGCTTACGTAAAGAACGAACAATAAGTCAGTGTCCGAGTTCTTCGCCGACAATCTCACAAGCTTATCCGAAACACAGAACGAAATCCTAAATTTCACGAACCACATTTTGGAAGAGAGCTTTATAGTGCAGCATCCAAACGATTTTCGAAAACGCTGCACTGATTTTAGATGAATAAAAGCTAGCGTATCTCTGTTAGGAATAGGCTCAATTATGCGAGCTTTTACTTTAAAAGTTCGTCGGGATAGTGTAAGTCTACAAAGGCATTCAATACCCCAGTGTATTTGACGAACGGTTCAGCTCTAATTGGTAGAGGGAACAACTCAATTAGCTCTCCACAATCGAAATCAAGGACCAAAACGTTCAAAAAAGAAAGAGAGAACCTCATTCGTGGATCAAAAAATCAGCGCGATACGATCAAATTACGCTCAGCGGATTGAAGCGTGAACAGATATCATCTCATTTTTTGCATGAACCCGAAGCAAGCGTAGTGTTTTACTCGATAACCCAGAAAGATGATTTTTTTTTTCGGCCGACTCAGTGAATGTCCCTTGCTTGAGATCTCGTTAGCAAGTTTTGTCTTTTACTTGAAACCATTTAACCGGGATTTTCGGATACAGAAAAATTTCATTTGCACCATCTCATCGCTCAACTTCACTTCAGCGCTGTTCAACGTCATTTCAACTGCTTTGAAATGAATTTGTGAACTCAAGAACCCATGATAAATCACAAAAGAAAACTGAATTTCGTCTAAAAGTTCTTTAGGTACTCAAGCATCCGAGTTGAGATCCTCCAAAGCAAATTGAAGCTCGATATCCAAGAATCAAAGCTAGTTTTTCTCGTTCTTACGCGAAAAGAATTCGCTTGAAGTTGCATCCCCTGACACGCTGAACTTCTTGTTCACCAGTTGACATATCAAGGGAATTGATCAACAAATCCATTCACACTGCCAGGAAAATTGAACAGAAATTTGAAAACGGTTTTCAGCATTATGCTTGAAATTATTTGTGTGCTTTTCATATGTCTTGGAGGCGTATTGAAACCCAACTAATGCACGAAAAACGCATTTTCCATGTGGGAACCCTTATTCTTCCACAAAAATATGATGCGCACTTTCCCCTCTCTAGCCCAGTATTTACTCATCAATCATGATGAGTAAAAATTTTAATAATGGCCCGAGTTATTTATTATAATTGAGTATTCACTCCGAGAATAAAATTGCTCAATCTTCCTATCTGCAGCATTATTCCCGATTCAAGACAAGTGAAATATAAGAAAGCGGAAGTGAAAGGGTAGAAGAGATTTATGAACGGCCCCTCGTCGTAAATATACAGTGCGACGGATTCAAACCCAATCGGCATGCGGCTCTTGTATACTCACAAGACTGACAAGTGTTGCTTGCTGAAAGGCAACGTGAGATCGCGTCGGACTTCTACGTCGTCGGTGCTGAGCTGTAGCGGCAGCCTCGACAAGTACACAGCGTCGAACTAGAGGACCTATGTAAACGGGCCCTTTTAGGGCCACGCTGGGGCCCTGTGAGGAAGGTATTTCGGGAACAGGTTAAAGAAGTGTTGACAGAAAAAAAATGATAAAGAGAACAAAAACAAAAAACATTCGTGAGTTTCGGAAAATGGTGACAAAGATGGATGGGCGGTTGTTTGAACTGGTGAAACCGTAATACGGTCGTGTATACATAGATCCTCCTCTGGCGACTTCCAGACAGCATCAGAGAAACATCTATCTCAACTCGAAAGGAAGTCATAAAAATAGCAGGAAAAACTTGAGATAAATTATGTGAAACTTCGCTCGAAAACTTTGCTATTCACTGCTTTCACTGAATTTGTCCGAAAGCTGGAATAACCCTAGAAGATTCCTTGTCGAATCTAATCTAGGGACCTTCTCTCAAATATTTTGAATCATCGCGGTTACGTTGATGGAATAATATTAACGTGACCTTCTGCCAAATCTGAGTCAAAAAGGTGACCAGCCCGAAATGGTACCCAGCTACACTAACCCAAGAGGAATATAAACGCTTTTTAATTTCGAAATGGCTTATCCCTGAACACCTTTCACAGCGTTCGGATCAGTCTGAAATTCATTCTTTGATCTTGCCAAATCCACAAAATCACTTTGAAAATTATTTTCATCGTTGTACATTAAAAAAAAATTAAATTTGCGCTAACATCACCATGATTGATGTACAGTATAGTCATTGTTTTCAACTTGCTCTATTGTTTCGCAGACTAAATTTTTTGAATATGTCTTTCTCCCATGCTTATTATGTACAGTTTTAACAATCGATTACTTCTGTCCATCCAGCAGAAAATCCCTGTTGACCTAGAAATTTTCGCACAGCTTTTTCCCGATCTGGAAACAATCAGCAGTCTGAATGCTCGCAAAATTTCTCGGAGTTTTTTTTTTACATTAAACTTTTTGTAAAGCGTGACGAAAGGTGAAAGCACCGTTTAAATCGAGCGAGATCAACCCGAGAACACTTCGACACAGAAATTCGGAGCTACGCAGAGATTATGAACGAGAGAGGATTGGTCCGAAACGTGCTTTTAGGGTCAAGACTGAAGTAGCTGCTTTTATTCCTGCCGCTTATGTTGCCTTCAACTTACAACAGAGCGTGTGTTCAAACTAGCTGAAGCGGCTAAAAGTGCTCTTATGAAAGAGTGCCCAATTGTTGATAACAGCTATAGTAGAAAAAAACGGCAGCTTTCTTCCCTGGTTTCCTTAGTAAAAAAAGAAATCGGCGACGATTTCAGCATTTACTGCAGATGGCAGCACGCTAATGCCATAATATTTTTAAAAATTCGTACTGACTCTGTGAGAGCGTAATCATTTTTTCGCGATAAGCTTCCGCGAAGAAAATGGTTTCAAGTTATTTTCGAAGTTCGTATTCGCATGATTGAATTTGTACTTCGTCTACGACTGAAAATATTTCGAAAAATAACGTCAGATTATTTTCGACTCGAGTAAATACGGGTTTTGCTTCACTGCACCGAAAGAAAATATTCTCGCGACGGAACGATTATTGCGTTGAATATCCGCGTGTCGAAAATTTCGACTTCAAATTAAATGCAATCGTCTGTGAAACCTGAAAATATTCAGGTTGTGATTTTCTGTTCCAGAAAATTCAATTTTCGGATTGACTCTAAATTTGCAAGAATGACTCCAGCGCAATTAGAAACTCACCATCGACCATGTCACCGATGATCAAGTGGAGATGAGCAGGACTGGCTTTCACTTGTTCAGACGTCGGGGAATACGCTTCAATGCATATCGCCATCTGACCAGGATTGACCGAAGATTCGGTCGGAGTATTCTGATGTGACCCGTTGCGTGACCCACTCGCGCTCGTCACCACACCTGATGACTCGCTGCCAGCGTCGCTTTTGTCTAAAAAATAATCTGTCGAATTAAACGACAAGCCCATCGAAAAACTCATTGTTTTTCAATGTGAGAAAATTTGAGTGACCCACATGAACAGCAGGGTACTCGAAAGAGTTTTATTAATTTAGTTGGCTTGTCTTGAGAGCTAAAAACGTATGTTTTAATCAATTATGTGAAACGTTATCATTTGATTTCCGCACTCATTGTTTTGATTCAATTTACTAAAACCTCTTCACTCTTATTTTTTCATCAGTAATTTTGAAGCTAACTTTTAATATACGCGTGGGACATTTGAGGGCATGACTTCATACAGGATTCCTTTTTATCGATAAGTTCGCATTTACATAAAAAAGCGATGCTACGAAAATCGAGATTTCATTCGTAAAACAAAGATGTCGCTTGAATCTTGATAGTTTTGAAAAGCCTACTCATCTAATTAGGCTAGGGCATATCCGAATACAGTCCAGTATTTTAGATTATAGTTAAACATCCATTCAAATAACATTAGGTACTCCTCGTTGGGTCAAGTTGCGTTTTTTTATGATTTTGATATTCTAGGAAGCAATGTCATGTTCGGAAGCGCGAAAGAGAACCCACGCTTCAATAAAGTACAGTATTTTAATAACAGACGTTTGTGTTGAAGTTATGGCAAATTTGATGCATTCCTGAAGTAATTTCATTCATGTAAATCTGCCATGAACATTTTATCGATGCGAATCATACAACCATTCTTCAGCGAATGGATTGAACCTAAAATTTATGGTCAAAAATTATATGCGTNAAATTTGATGCATTCCTGAAGTAATTTCATTCATGTAAATCTGCCATGAACATTTTATCGATGCGAATCATACAACCATTCTTCAGCGAATGGATTGAACCTAAAATTTATGGTCAAAAATTATATGCGTCTCACGTGACTTCATTCGGATTGAATAGATGTTCCTGTTCAGTTCTTAATTTAACCGAAATAGACTAAAAATGTTTGCGAAAGACAACTCGAGCTTAATCACGTGGGAATTTCCCCGCGCGACGAATTAAAATACGGTATCAGAAACTTATGGGTGTCAAAAGAATTCCAATCAAAATAAAGGGTATGAGAAAAGAGAGGCACACGATTTGTAATCATGGCTATAAGGTTACATTTTAAGAAACTAGTTGGAAGTTCTTCGTATTTTTTTGGCAGGAATTGCATTCGTTAATAAGTTCCTGATAATAGAGCGACTGACTACTAAATTATAAAACCAGGTTTTATTGTTCAGCAGCAAACGCAAGAAAATTGCAGTACTGTATTCAAGAGACGTATCTGTCATGTTCATTTCATGTACATGGCATTAACCTTTAACTCAGAAGGATAAAAAAAGAAGAAGATCTTTTGGACCATCTGATTTTATTTCATTTACGGCGTAGGACTACACTTCTTCCAAGCGTGGTCAAACCTGTCTAGGCGCTCTCGGCGGGGGCTGCAGCTGCTGCTGTTGCGGCAGCCCGTTCTGCTGAAGTTGCACTTGCTGTCCATCCCCGTTGCTTTTCACAGTAGTCTCATGACCCGTTGTATCACCATCTCCGGAGTTTCTCGACTCGGGGTGAGTACACGTCGAGGAGCTGCCTTCGCTGATGCTCGACGCTGACGAGAAAGGAGGCAAAGAGACTGACGACGGCGACGGTGACGGTGGCTTCGAACACACGCCGCTGCTTCCCGCGCCAGAAGATGCCCCACTCGTGGACCCCGGTCCAGACAACGGGTCCATTCTGGGATCGGAATGGGTTCTGCCCAAAGACGGCGGCCCCGTTGACACCCTGCGTCGCGGGTTGTACTTGGGAGCTAGGGCCTTACCGTGACGTTATTTGCTTACTCCAGTGACGTAGACAGAGCAGCAGCGCTGGCTTGAGCTCTTTACTTTTTCTTATTTTGTTGCTAAGACAAGAGTAATAATTTACGACAAACTATCGACACTTCTCCGCCTTTATGACACGTCTGCTGGCAGCGGAAAGTACCAGAGTTATTGTGACGAAGGGGCATAGCAAAATTCTGGGCAATTAAATCACGATCATTCCACGAAACTCCCAACATACTCGATACATAAACTTAAATGAGCCTTAAACTAAAATAAAACGTGATTAGGCTTTGTCGACCGTATCACGTTCTCACGGAATCAAGACGCATCTTTCACTATTTCACATCAAAATGGGCCAGAACGTACTGTATAATGAGAATTTTTTTCATGACAAAATCAGCAAGAGAACAAAACTAGTCATGCCTAAAATGCAATATTCGAATGTCTTGAAAATGAGAAATAATATTCCGTAGGTTCTCCGAGACAAATTGCGATGAAAAGAATTCAAGGAAGTGGGAGGATTAGGAAAACATATAAATTAGACTCGCCAGCCATTCTTGCGTCACTGAGGGACAACTTTTTTTTTAAAGCAAACCGCTGGGCAGTGCTTAAAAAAAAGCACGTTCTTGGATTATTCAAGAATGGCAATTTTTATTTTTCGGAGAAAAGTGATACCATTGCTAATCAAATTTGCACTAAATTAATTAAGCCTTACGACGTAAGAACATGCAATCGGACTGACTCAACGCGGCTTACCCAAGCGAAATTCGATCATCCAGCCTAATTCAATGTACTCATCGGAACCAACACAAGGGATCCAATGAACTCATATCAATGATACTGTATTTGATATATTCGCAGATTAATGTTGATTTTTTTCACTCACAAAATTAAAATATTCAACGAGTTCATTTATTCTCGTTTATCGAAGTTGTTACGCGTCTTTGCATCTCCTGAATTCACGTTGTTCTCGATCCCGACTTTACATCTCTAGAAACGAAACTTCTAATCATTACGTCATTTATGCATGAATTTTACCAAATATGTTGGCGTCAAACGAAATGAAAATTATCACGATTTTGCTTCATTAAAATC